ATAATATAATATAATATATAATATATAATATAATATAAAATATGATATATAATATAATATATAATATAATATATAATATAATATAATATATAATATAATATATAATATAATATAATATGATATAAAATATAATATAATATATAATATAATATAATATATAATAAAATATGATATAATATATAATAGAATATAATATATAATATAATATAATATAATATGATATATAATATGTTATAATATAATATAATATAATATGATATATAATATGTTATAATATAATATAATATAATATATAATATATATATAATATAATATATATATATAATAATAATATTTATATATAATATTTATATATAATATATTCTCATATATTGCACATATATGAAGAATTCTGAAGATGTGCATATAAAATGTCCTGCATTCAACATCTTTATCTAAACACACACCGCACCTTCGCTGTTCCCAAAATGTCTTCCCGTGCCTGGATGTTGTTGTCTGATTCGCTTCGCCCAGAGGCCTGTCTCCTTCAAGTCGATGGAGCAGGGAAGACAAGCTGTGACGCTGAATTGGATGAGCCAACAAGTCAGCAACGAGGTGCGCTGGTGCCAGGCCGTCGGTGCCAGCTGATTGCCGTGGAATCCATGGAGGTGTCCGATTTTCCATTGGGGGTACCCCCAGTTATCATCATTTCTTAGTAGGATTTTCCATTAACCATCAGTTTTTGGCGACCCCCATTGTTGGAAACCCCCATATGAACCTATGATATGACAATAGAAACAATGACCTGAGGTAAAGACTGAGCCGGGCGTCAGCTTCGTTGGCTTTGGGAACTATTTCATTGAGTTGCAACCTCAGCCTTTCTGGATCAGTATCGCAAAGGCATGATATTGCCAGCAAGGAAAAAACATCGCAAAACAAAGAAAGATGTGTCTTTTGGGAATATCACAATACTCGCAATTCCCAATGACTGCTCAGAAATTGTGATTTTTGGGATGCCCCCCAAGACTATATTTTATTCAAAATGATTCTGAAATATTCTGAATATCTATAAATCTCTGGCATACACAGTACATCACAGTTCATCACAGTGCCCAATGTCTCATGATTTGTGCAGGTTCCCGGCGACCTACCAGGCCGTCTATTTCATTCAGGACGGTCGAGGTGAGGAGGACGTTGGAGGTTTCCTCCATGAAAATTGGAGGACGGTTGAAGGGAAAATCTGGATATAACCGGGAAGTTCACATGGATTTCCATGGATTTCCATGGATTTCCCACATGAAATATATCACGGTTTCCTATGGTTTCCTGTTTTTTTCAACCATTCCAATGACATTATGATGGGATATCCTGGGAAAGTTCTTTGATTCATTCCATGAATTTCCATGGAGTTCCTGGGCGTCGGCCTCCGGACCATGTCCTGCCAGGTGTGAATCCGGTTCCCGTTCCTGACTTGTTCACCCCTGTGGTGAAGGGCCCCATTCGGGCACGATCTGCTGATGGCTTGGAGATGCTGATTTCCATCTCATTTCAGTGGAGATTAAAGCCGAGAGCTCAAGAATGCTGAGATATGCTGAGATAAAGCGCTGAGATTTTTCGTGACTTCCTCGGTGCCAGTGACTGCTTTTGAAAATTCGAAGGCCAGAAGCATTGAAGGGGCTTTTTACCATCCTTGGTGACAACCTCTACAAGGCAAAGTGACAAGTTCTTCATGTTGTTCTTGTCCTTTCTGTAGTGCATGTAAATGCCATGAAATGCCTGTGTCATGTTGTTCTCATCTCCAATCCATTAAATATAGTTGTACAGTAAGTTATAAGTTATAAGTATATCATAAACCATCATAAACCATAGTTATTGGATACTATTGGTTCCCCCTCCAATCCATGCAGGATGAATTTGTCCGGTTTGCTCGAGCAGCTGTGGTCGAAGCCTGCTCCTTCTACACCGCAGAGCAGTCACTTTGGCATATTTGGCAGCAAGGATTGAACAGTTGGTTTGATTGAAAATAGGGTATATTATACCTCTAAATTTGATGGTTTATCAATGTTTAATCATCATCTTCCCCATTAAGTGGCCATTTTGGGAGGTATCCGCCATTTCAAGACAAACCCGGTTGTGAATTGCCCTGAACATACCTGAACTCTTCATTTAATAGGCAAATTCGTCGGCCCTACTGTAGCTTCCTTTGGAAAAATGAGATCGAAGAAAAGATCATGCCATATGTCACCAGCTGGTCGTTCAGCACCTGCAGCCACGTGGCCAGATACTTTACGCAACGTGCAGTCATCACCGCAAAGATGCTGGAGGTCTGTGGCTGCCATTGCAGCATTCCACACAGGGATCCCTGGGGTTAGCTCGGGGTTAACATACAAAAAGATCTGGAAAACCCATAGATTCCCTCGGATAATCTACAAATGGTGGCTTTTCGACATCGTACGTTTGCTGGAGGGTACTCGCACACTGATTGCTGGTTTGAAACATGCTGATGTTCATCAATTGTCACCCCTCAGCACGATGCTCCAGATTAGTGGCTTTCCCTATTTTGAGACATTTTGAGACGACCCAAGCTGTTTGGTCAATATCACATACTATCACCTTTTTTCATCATTTATTGTCCATTTGATTTGCCCACTTATATCAAAACATAGGTATATGTGTATATAACTATATAATACTATATACATATATATAATCATATGTATATTACTGTATATATATATATCAGGTGTCACGCCATTTTTTAGATTGTCTTTCCCCATGTTTTGTTCCCTGAAAAATGGGTGGTTCCGTTGGTTTCCAGGTGATGCAGGCGAACTTCAATAAACCCCAGGATGACTTGATGCTGGAGATCACAGGGCTCCAACTGCGGGAGGTTCAACCAGTGGATACCAGTGGTTTTTTTGTCCCGGCAGTGGTGATTGGATGATGGAAATCTATGGATGGATTTGTAGCGGCTACCGGGGAGCCGGGTAGTTGGATCGCTTGGACAGGTTGATCTACCTGATGACTTCGATGATGAAATTGCGAATACACAAGAGCAGATGCAGGAGGCTTTGAACGGATGGGCGGCGCAAAGGAACAACAGAAATTGTAACGGGAATGAGATTGCGGTTTGCAAATGGATGTCTTTGGAAATAGGGTACTCCAGAAACCGATGGTTTACTATGGTTTATTATCATTTTCCCCACGAAAATTGCCCCAATTTTGGACCTGGGTGTCCAGCCAGGTGGAAGTTGGCAAGGCAGAACGGCAGGAGCGGATCACTCCATGGATCGATGGATCAATGGTTGCCCATGGTTGCCCAGTAATGACTCCTCAAATGTCAGATGTAGTAAGCGGAGTGAGTTTGAAATCGCACTTCCATGGGATTTCAATGGATGTCATAGGTCAATTGGCGGAATTTCTGTACTTCAAGGTTTGATAACTAGTGGGTCTGATGGGCTTCAAGTGGTTAGACCGCAGAACCTATGGCCAGGAGCAAATCATTATCAAAGAGGCCGCGATAGAAGTAGCCATGCAAAAGGCTGGCAACCCATGGTTTATTGATGTTTATTGGTTTGTTGGATTTGCATGACATTGTTTGATCTCCTACTACTGTTCTGCAATTTCTGCAGTTCTACACCAGGTGGAAGAGATCATTAAAGGAGCCAAAGGGCAAGCCGCTCGAGTGCAAATCCAGAACGAGGCGACGGAATTTCATGCTGTATGTCATGCTACCTTGCACTCTTTCACATTGTTAGCATCGTTTTGAGACTGTCGCTCCAAGCATTTCTCCCACAAGGCAACGATTAAGCAGCTCATGCTAGTTCAACAGAGGCAAGCCGAGGTGGGAGTCGGTCTTTGGCAAGGAGAGTTGATAGTTCACGCTTCTATACAGTACTTGCATTACCTAGCATAGCTATGCATAGCTCATGCATTACTGTATCTGGCATTGCATAATATATATACATAATATATATACATAATATATATACATAATATATATACATAATATATATATACATATATATATATATTATATATATATATATTATATATACGTGTATTAATATAATATGTATATCATATGTATAGCTGTTTACACACTTCTTTACAGTGCAATATGAGACCGATGAGACCTGGGCTTGGATTTGAGTATTTGAGCTGCTCAAGAGAGCGTCGTCTGTCGTGGCAATGCGAGGCAAATGCTGCCATTTTGCAGCAATTTGCCAACGATACGTTGCCTTTCGACAGGCGAAATGCCCATCTGTTCATGCGTGTTGGATCATCCATGCGTATCGTTGGGATGGATGATGGATGCAAAAAAAATCTAAAAGCTATGCATTATGTATCATTATGTCATTGTTGCTTGTGAATGCTTGTGACCCTTGTTGGGAAATAGCCAGATTGCCCATGCTGCAGCAAGAGGCTTTTCAAAGTGATGGAAATCAGAGCACTTGATGATCACGCTCCGGACAAGCTCACAGTCAGTTTGTGAGGGGAGGAGTGTATTTTGCTGTTCACCACCCGTGTGATGGTATGGCAGTTGTGCGGTGCAGAGGGCAGTGAAATGAACATAGAATTTGTTTGCATGGTCAGCTCCAAGCTTAACTAAATTCTAGCAAATTTAGCTCAACTATTGTCCGCCTTTTGCAGTCGGTCAAGAACATCTTGGCCCATGATCTGCCGATGCCGAGAGAGAGAGATCATGTACAATCATTGTCAGTTTGAAACTGGGAAGCCCCAAGGGTTTTGGTCAGTTTCCAAAGACTCTTGCATTTGTCAATCTCGCAGTGCCTACTGTGCCTACAGTTTCGTGTTTGTCATGTACATCAGCGACCGACTGACTCATCAGATGGCAAGAGTTTCAACATGAGCTGGCCAGTTGCCGCTTCGATTGCTGGATCATGGCCGTCTCATTACTGACTTTCAGCGCTTTAATGGCCAAAAAGAATCCTGGTGACGATCAAGATTCTGCAGGGAAAATGTGCAAAACAGTTCAAGTTCTGCATATCGTGCCCACGACGGAAGCTTTTCAGTGGAGTCCAAGACCATGGTGTTTTTTCCGCATGACACATGAAACAGTCTGGCGATTGGTTGGGAGTTCCCACCATACCAGTTTGCCATAGCATCCATAGATATCCATAGCCCTACTAAAGTTCAACACATTCAACACGCCGTTCACGGCTCCTTTTCTTGAAACCCCATCCGCACTGCTTGTGCTGTTCAGAGAATCTTGTCAAATCTTGAGAGTGATGATCCGTGACATACTGAAACAGGTTGCATCGTGTCAAGCTATTGAGCAAGCTGCTTCAGCCATGGCTTCTGCAAATGCTCCCACGATGAAGGCATTGGCTTCTGAAAATGTTTCCGTAGAAAAGATTGTAACTTTGGCCGCGACAACATTTGCATGATTCCATCATGCCACAAGAATAGTTTCTTCTGTACCAGGTTGCTGCCTGTGTGAATCTGTGTGCTTTCAAAAGCTTGTGAGAGTTTCGACATGTCATGCAACGTCATGTGAACATTGTGAATACCAACATTGTGAATACCAACATTGTGAATACCAATCCAACAATGCAAGGCCGGCAGAGAAAAGAAGAATTGGCTCATCAATTTGCTTTATGTTCGACAGGCACAAGTGTGACAACACGTTGCAACCATGGTTTGGGAAGCAGTTCGGTAAGTGCAATTTGTCCAACCTTTCTCTTGATTCTTCTTTCAGCTACAACCAAAAGATGACGGTTGGTCCGATGAGGAACTATGCAGGGAAGGATGGAAACAGTACATAATCATTAATAAATTTAATAATCATCCGAATGTCCAGTGTTTACACTTTTTACACCTTCACCGGCATTTGATCAGACAGTTTCCTGCCCAGTTTCCACGTTTCGCTGTGAGAAACATGTTGTTTCACCAGGAATTCAAGGAATGCATGGAAGTGATAGAGGAGCAACTGCGTGATTCGAACGGAATGTCTGGAGCCTGGCTTTGAGATCTTTGAGCGGCTCTGAGTTGGTTATGTCGTGTGATGGGTATGCGGTGACGCCAGGTGTGAGTATGCCATTTATGTGAAGGCTCTCATAAAGCGACAGGAAGGGCAGGCAGATGGTCGTCCTGAAGTATCCTGCTGTGTCAGAACATGTCATGTTTCAATGTGTTCGATGATTTTTCTGAAGCTTCAGTTCTGTTGATAGAATTTGGCAGTTGACTTCCATACTACAGTAAGTCGAAAGCTGTGGATATGAGAGACCTGAGAAGCAAAAGGTGCAACGCACTTCCACTGTGATCTCTGGGTAGGTTCAGGAATCATTGCAGCTATTCCAAGCTGCCACCTGCATCAGTCCATTGAACGTCTACAATCTCAAGCAGGCCGTAGATTAGGAGGTGTCCGGGAACTCATTGGGGGTCCAAATCATCCAAGTCATGAGACATCATGAGACATCATGAGACCCTGACTTAGTATTGAAAGATATTGAAAGCCATTGTTAAAATATGTTAAAATGGGATCCACCATTTAAGAAATATCCATATGTCATGTAAATAAGTTGAGACCCTCAGACGCCATCGCAGATGGGTCGAAGCCTCTACCTGCTTGGCAAGCATCGTGGAGCTATCGAGGTGACCGGACCAGACCCAAACAAGTTTCAACAGACCCCATATTAAGAGAACAAGTCAAGGCAGATCTAGTTACTCTAGTTGCGACTCTAGTTGCTTCAATGATCTTTAATGAATTTCAATTTCTGGTACTGCGAATTGACGGAATGGTTGTTGTCATCAAGAATCCGACTGGATCGGAGCAAAATCATGCAAAATCACCGCAGGTCTATGACGAAGCCCAGAAGATTTCGCCGGACGACTGGGAGATTTGGCACAACAAGGGCCTTTGCTACATGTACCTTCGTCAATATGACAGCTCCATCGATTGCTTTACGAAGGCGGGACATTGGATGGAGATGGAGTATGATGTCAAATAATGGTTAAACCATATACAACCATATCTACATACCTATTTACAAAATACATCAAAATACTATATTATATTATATTATATTATACTATATTATGTTATATTATATTATATTGTATCATAAATTATTATATTATATGGTATATTATATTATATATTATATCAGATTATATTATATTATATCAGATTTTCTCATTATCAGATTATATAATATGATATCAGATTATATATTATTATATCAGATTATATATTATATATTATGTCAGATTACATATTATATATTATATAATATATATTATATCAGATTATATATTATATATTAGATCAGATTATATATTATAGTTTTTATATTTTTATTTTATATTATATAATAATATATTATATATTATTATATATAATATAACATAACATATTATATATATATACAATACTGTATATAGCGATGTATTGCAACTTTCTGTTTTTGGTGACACCTTGGCGAGGCGAACCAGATTCAGCGCCACGATGTGACCTTCATGCAGCTTGGAAAGGCAGGGTCACCACGCAGCTTTCCAACCAGATGTGGGGGGGTGTTTCCGATGGCTCGTTTTCATGTCTAATGTGGATATGTGTGGGTTCAGTGTGGATACACTTTAAAAAAACTCTGAAGCATGTGCATCAGCTTTCAGATTTTTGCAGGTACATGCATTGCAAGAGGATTATAAGTCAGCTATTGATGTCTACACTGAAGCCTGGATCCCCAGAGATTTTGAGACTGGAATGTCCGTTAGCAGTTGAAGGGGACTAGATTACACGTTTTGATGTTTTTACCCAGGCGCTGGAGTTTTCACCGGAGCATGCAGAGCTCCTTACAACTCTGGGGATCCTATATTTGCGGTGTCTTGGCAGAATGAAAGCATCAAAGTTCAGTTTTTGCTTCACATATTACTTCACAACTTGCCGGAAAGACTTGATTCCTAAGGATGGGAGAGAACTTCAAGGCCTTTGTGGCTTAGCATGTCTTAGCATTTGAAAGATGTTTTGCTGCTCAGCCACAGCCTTGGCGTTTCCAGCTGCGCCAAGGATTACTTGGGAAATGCCTTGACACATGATCCGAAGAATGCCAAAACAATTCTGGCAGCTGGATCCATCATCCAGGAGAGAAGACACCTGATTTCAGTGGCGAGTTGAACAGCCTGAACAGCAACTGCAAGGTGAGAAGATTTGAAATATCAATGGGTTGAACATGGAAAGACGGAAAGACGCAGGACCACTCGGATATGGATGTCGCTTTGATCAAGTATCGTGTGGCTGCGGTTCACACGCCAAATTCTGCTCAGCTTTGGAACAAGTCCGCAGCTCAGCTTTGCTGAAACGCCTGAAGATTGAAGACTTGATTCACAGAATTGATTCTGCCAGGGGTAGATGGTAGAAGTAGGTTCTATGTGGCCTGGTGGTTTCCATCATGATCCATCATGTTCCATCTCCAGCGCCACTCTACCAATTTGCAGCTGCATTGTTCGCAGTATCGGAATGTGCTTCTTCGGGAAGACGAAGTATGTGGCTGCGATCGCTTGCGCTTGCCTGAGTGCACTGAGAGATTGAAATGGCTGTGCCATGCTGTGCCATGCTGGATGATTCGTAGACGCTCCTAAAAAAAGCCGTTTTCGTAGGGAAAATGATGATGAATCAGTGACCATTAGTGACCTTAAGGGTACACTGTGCACAAGTTTCAGACAAAGTCCAATTTGTTTCGAAAGCAACTTGCAAAAGACTTCTCTTTGTGTCCATGTGGCTCGAGGCCTAAAGCGTGCTCTTTATTTGGATCCATTTGAGTGGATCATTTCTTACAATTTGGGTGTACCTGACATGCCTTGTCCAAAGTTCTCCTTATTTTTTCTACGCATCGAATACGTGGTCGGCCAGGCCTGGTGCATCTCAATACTGGACAATTTGCTTCCGCACTTCTGGCTTGTAAAAAAAAAACATCCTGGGCAAGCTTGGCAAGCTTGGGCGTCCTTGGACCATTTGGCAACAAAAAAGTCATCGCCAACTTGGCCTAGTTTGCCCTCCGGAAATCAAACATTGCAATGGAAAATGACCCGTTTGAAGATGATGTTCCCATTTGAATGTCCATTCATAGGGGATTTCCCATTACTTTGATTGATTTCCGGAGGGTACCCAATGTACATTGGCTGTATTGTGGCAGGCATTCCACTTCTTCTCTGCAAGCATCAACTTGAAGCCGGACTTCCCATCATCCTACATGCTCGGATCTCAGTAATCTGACATACCACTAAGATGACCCAAAATGTTCTGGAGTCCCAAAAAATCATAGTCTCGGTGCAGAAATATCCCATGATATATAGTGATATATATTATATCTCATCATATATGATATATATAATATGATATAATCATTTCTTATATATATATAATATATATATATAGCCATACAATGTTAGATTCTATTGGTCCCCCTTTAGTGGGTTCAAAGATCACCCAATTCCCCAAAGATCCATGGCCGCAAGTTAAGGTATTTGGCCATCACACTGAGTCGCTTGGACGACTTCTCAAATGCTTGCAGCGCCTATGAGAAGGCCAAAGGGATGTGAGATACTTGGAGTTGGGATGAGAATTCCCAATTCAAAACATACATGGGCGTCAGTGTGTTGCTCCTCTGGAGTTTGCATTCACGTCAGACTCCGTGATCATTTTGGCTTGAGCTTGAGCTCTTTTAAAGCCACTCCTGTGCAGCTCTCTGTGTGGCAAAACTTGCAACATGGCTCGCTCTGCCTCACGTGTGCTCGCTTGCGTGCTCTTGGCCCTTGCCTGCTCGGCGATGCTTTGCTTTGTGGGCACCACTCCCAGTCCTGCTGCTGGAAGCACTCCGCTGAAGCAGTCTTTGCGGGCACCGGCCGTGCAGATGGAGGCACGAGGTGGTGGTGAGGGTGCCCTTGGCGACATGAGTCCCGACACCTACATCATTGGCATCACCGTGCTTGGGATTGCATCCTTGTTTGCCAACATCAGCGGCTTCTTCAACCCATGAGAAGACCGGGGTAGAGAATGGCAGCGGCCATGATATGTAGGTTTTTAGTCTCTTTATATTGTTTACATCGCTTCGATCTGCCTGACAGAGCAGAGGATTGTGCGAATTGGGGCAGAAATAGCGTCTCTGAGGGAACAGATGGGGACAGGCGGGGAAAGGCATGGGCATGTTTTCCTTTCTGACATGTCCTTCTTGCAGTGGGTCCCGGGTTCAGTGTATGTTTGTTTGAACTGCAAACGATTCAGCCAAAGGAATCAATCGCATTTGAGGAACAAGAGAGTTGGACTACGTTGGACTACGTTTGACTATGTAAGGTTTGATCACATGTGAGCATCGAAGGATGTGAGATACTCGGATGTTTGGATATGTTTGGATGAGAATTCCAAATCCAAAACATATATGGGCGTCACTGTGTTGCTCCTATCGAGTTTGCATTCACGTCGGACTCCATGATCATTTTGGCTTGGGCTTGAGCTCTTTTAAAGCCACTCCTCTGCAGCTCTCTGTGTGGCAAAACTTGCAACATGGCTCGCTCTGCCTCACGTGTGCTCGCTTGCGTGCTCTTGGCCCTTGCCTGCTCGGCGATGCTTTGCTTTGTGGGCACCACTCCCAGTCCTGCTGGAAGCACTCCGCTGAAGCAGTCTTTGCGGGCACCGGCCGTGCAGATGGAGGCACGAGGTGGTGGTGAGGGTGCCCTTGGCGACATGAGTCCCGACACCTACATCATTGGCATCACCGTGCTTGGGATCGCATCCTTGTTTGCCAACATCAGCGGCTTCTTCAACCCATGAGAAGACCGGGGTAGAGAATGGCAGCGGCCATAATATGTAGGTTTTTAGTATCTTTGCATTGTTTACATCGCTTCGATCTGCCTGACAGAGCAGAGGATTGTGCGAATTGGTGCACAAATAGTGTCTCTGAGGGAACAGATGGGGACGGGCGGGACAGGCATGAGCATGTTTTCCTTTCTGACATGTCCCTCTTGCAGTGGGTCCCGGGTTCAGTGTATGTTTGTTTGAACTCCAAAGGATTCAGCCAAAGGAATCAATCGCATTTGAGGAACAAGAGAGTTGGACTACGTTTGACTATGTAAGGTTTGATCACATGTGAGCACCGAAGGATGTGAGATACTCGGATGTTTGGATATCCAAAACATATATGGGTGTCACTGTGTTGCTCCTATCGAGTTTGCATTCACGTCGGACTCCATGATCATTTTGGCTTGGGCTTGAGCTCTTTTAAAGCCACTCCTGTGCAGCTCTCTGTGTGGCAAAACTTGCAACATGGCTCGCTCTGCCTCACGTGTGCTCGCTTGCGTGCTCTTGGCCCTTGCCTGCTCGGCGATGCTTTGCTTTGTGGGCACCACTCCCAGTCCTGCTGGAAGCACTCCGCTGAAGCAGTCTTTGCGGGCACCGGCCGTGCAGATGGAGGCACGAGGTGGTGGTGAGGGTGCCCTTGGCGACATGAGTCCCGACACCTACATCATTGGCATCACTGTGCTTGGGATTGCATCCTTGTTTGCCAACATCAGCGGCTTCTTCAACCCATGAGAAGACCGGGGTAGAGAATGGCAGCGGCCATGATATGTAGGTTTTTAGTATCTTTACATTGTTTACATCGCTTCGATCTGCCTGACAGAGCAGAGGATTGTGCGAATTGGTGCAGAAATAGTGTCTTTGAGGGAACAGATGGGGACGGGCGGGGACAGGCATGAGCATGTTTTCCATCCTCACATGTCCTTCTTGCAGTGGGTCCCGGGTTCAGTGTATGTTTGTTTGAACTCCAAACGATTCAGCCAAAGGAATCAATCGCATTTGAGGAACAAGAGAGTTGGACTACGTTTGACTATGTAAGGTTTTATCACATGTGAGCATCGAAGGATGTGAGATACTCGGATGTTTGGATATGTTTGGATGAGAATTCCAAATCCAAAACATATATGGGCGTCACTGTGTTGCTCCTATCGAGTTTGCATTCACGTCGGACTCCGTGATCATTTTGGCTTGGGCTTGAGCTCTTTTAAAGCCACTCCTGTGCAGCTCTCTGTGTGGCAAAACTTGCAACATGGCTCGCTCTGCCTCACGTGTGCTCGCTTGCGTGCTCTTGGCCCTTGCCTGCTCGGCGATGCTTTGCTTTGTGGGCACCACTCCCAGTCCTGCTGCTGGAAGCACTCCGCTGAAGCAGTCTTTGCGGGCACCGGCCGTGCAGATGGAGGCGCGAGGCGGTGGTGAGGGTGCCCTTGGCGACATGAGTCCCGACACCTACATCATTGGCATCACCGTGCTTGGGATTGCATCCTTGTTTGCCAACATCAGCGGCTTCTTCAACCCATGAGAAGACTGGGGTAGAGAATGGCAGCGGCCATGATATGTAGGTTTTTAGTATCTTTACATTGTTTACATCGCTTCGATCTGCCTGACAGAGCAGAGGATTGTGCGAATTGGTGCAGAAATAGTGTCTTTGAGGGAACAGATGGGGACGGGCGGGGACAGGCATGAGCATGTTTTCCATCCTCACATGTCCTTCTTGCAGTGGGTCCCGGGTTCAGTGTATGTTTGTTTGAACTCCAAACGATTCAGCCAAAGGAATCAATCGCATTTGAGGAACAAGAGAGTTGGACTACGTTTGACTATGTAAGGTTTGATCACATGTGAGCACCGAAGGATGTGAGATACTCGGATGTTTGGATATGTTTGGATGAGAATTCCAAATCCAAAACATATATGGGCGTCACTGTGTTGCTCCTATCGAGTTTGCATTCACGTCGGACTCCATGATCATTTTGGCTTGGGCTTGAGCTCTTTTAAAGCCACTCCTGTGCAGCTCTCTGTGTGGCAAAACTTGCAACATGGCTCGCTCTGCCTCACGTGTGCTCGCTTGCGTGCTCTTGGCCCTTGCCTGCTCGGCGATGCTTTGCTTTGTGGGCACCACTCCCAGTCCTGCTGGAAGCACTCCGCTGAAGCAGTCTTTGCGGGCACCGGCCGTGCAGATGGAGGCACGAGGTGGTGGTGAGGGTGCCCTTGGCGACATGAGTCCCGACACCTACATCATTGGCATCACCGTGCTTGGGATCGCATCCTTGTTTGCCAACATCAGCGGCTTCTTCAACCCATGAGAAGACCGGGGTAGAGAATGGCAGCGGCCATAATATGTAGGTTTTTAGTATCTTTGCATTGTTTACATCGCTTCGATCTGCCTGACAGAGCAGAGGATTGTGCGAATTGGTGCACAAATAGTGTCTCTGAGGGAACAGATGGGGACGGGCGGGACAGGCATGAGCATGTTTTCCTTTCTGACATGTCCCTCTTGCAGTGGGTCCCGGGTTCAGTGTATGTTTGTTTGAACTCCAAAGGATTCAGCCAAAGGAATCAATCGCATTTGAGGAACAAGAGAGTTGGACTACGTTTGACTATGTAAGGTTTGATCACATGTGAGCACGGAAGGATGTGAGATACTCGGATGTTTGGATATGTTTGGAATTGTTTGGATGAGAATTCCAAATCCAAAACATATATGGGCGTCACTGCGTTGCTCCTATCGAGTTTGCATTCACGTCAGACTCCGTGATCATTTTGTCATTTTTATTCATTTTTTATTTTTATTTTGGCTTCGGCTTGAGCTCTTTTAAAGCCACTCCTGTGCAGCTCTCTATGTGGCAAAACTTGCAACATGGCTCGCTCTGCCTCAGGTGTGCTCGCTTGCGTGCTCTTGGCCCTTGCCTGCTCGGCGATGCTTTGCTTTGTGGGCACCACTCCCAGTCCTGCTGCTGGAAGCACTCCGCTGAAGCAGTCTTTGCGGGCACCGGCCGTGCAGATGGAGGCACGAGGTGGTGGTGAGGGTGCCCTTGGCGACATGAGTCCCGACACCTACATCATTGGCATCACCGTGCTTGGGATTGCATCCTTGTTTGCCAACATCAGCGGCTTCTTCAACCCATGAGAAGACCGGAGTAGAGAATGGCAGCGGCCATGATATGTAGGTTTTTAGTCTCTTTACATTGTTTACATCACTTCGATCTGCCTGACAGAGCAGAGGATTGTGCGAATTGGTGCAGAAATAGCGTCTCTGAGGGAACAGATGGGACGGGCGGGGACAGGCATGAGCATGTTTTCCTTTCTGACATGTCCTTCTTGCAGTGGGTCCCGGGTTCAGTGTATGTTTGTTTGAACTCCAAACGATTCAGCCAAAGGAATCAATTGGCTGATAATTCCCAATTCAAAACATACATGGGTGTCAGTGTGTTGTTCCTATCGAGTTTGTATTCACATCGGAGTCCGCGATGATTTTGGCTTCAGCTTGACCTCTTTGAAGGCCGCTCCTGTGCAGCTCTCTGTGTGGCAAAACTTGCAACATGGCTCGCTCCGCCTCACGTGTGCTCGCTTGCGTGCTCTTGGCCCTTGCCTGCTCGGCGATGCTTTGCTTTGTGGGCACCACTCCCAGTCCTGCTGCTGGAAGCACTCCGCTGAAGCAGTCTTTGCGGGCACCGGCCGTGCAGATGGAGGCGCGAGGCGGTGGTGAGGGTGCCCTTGGCGACATGAGCCCCGACACCTACATCATTGGCATCACCGTGCTTGGGATTGCATCCTTGTTTGCCAACATCAGCGGCTTCTTCAACCCATGAGAAGACTGGGGTAGAGAATGGCAGCGGCCATGATATGTAGGTTTTTTAGTCTCTTTACATTGTTTACATCGCTTCGATCTGCCTGACAGAGCAGAGGATTGTGCGAATTGGTGCAGAAATAGTGCCTTTGAGGGAACAGATGGGGACGGGCGGGGACAGGCATGAGCATGTTTTCCTTTCTGACATGTCCTTCTTGCAGTGGGTCCCGGGTTCAGTGTATGTTTGTTTGAACTCCAAAGGATTCAGCCAAAGGAATCAATCGCATTTGAGGAACAAGAGAGTTGGACTACGTTTGACTATGTAAGGTTTGATCACATGTGAGCACGAAGGATGTGAGATACTCGGATGTTTGGATATGTTTGGAATTGTTTGGATGAGAATTCCAAATCCAAAACATATATGGGCGTCACTGTGTTGCTCCTATCGAGTTTGCATTCACGTCGGACTCCGTGATCATTTTGGCTTGGGCTTGAGCTCTTTTAAAGCCACTCCTGTGCAGCTCTCTGTGTGGCAAAACTTGCAACATGGCTCGCTCTGCCTCACGTGTGCTCGCTTGCGTGCTCTTGGCCCTTGCCTGCTCGGCGATGCTTTGCTTTGTGGGCACCACTCCCAGTCCTGCTGCTGGAAGCACTCCGCTGAAGCAGTCTTTGCGGGCACCGGCCGTGCAGATGGAGGCACGAGGTGGTGGTGAGGGTGCCCTTGGCGACATGAGTCCCGACACCTACATCATTGGCATCACCGTGCTTGGGATTGCATCCTTGTTTGCCAACATCAGCGGCTTCTTCAACCCATGAGAAGACCGGAGTAGAGAATGGCAGCGGCCATGATATGTAGGTTTTTAGTCTCTTTACATTGTTTACATCACTTCGATCTGCCTGACAGAGCAGAGGATTGTGCGAATTGGTGCAGAAATAGCGTCTCTGAGGGAACAGATGGGACGGGCGGGGACAGGCATGAGCATGTTTTCCTTTCTGACATGTCCTTCTTGCAGTGGGTCCCGGGTTCAGTGTATGTTTGTTTGAACTCCAAACGATTCAGCCAAAGGAATCAATCGCATTTGAGGAACAAGAGAGTTGGACTACGTTTGACTATGTAAGGTTTTATCACATGTGAGCACCGAAGGATGTGAGATACTCGGATGTTTGGATATGTTTGGATGAGAATTCCAAATCCAAAACATATATGGGTGTCACTGTGTTGCTCCTATCGAGTTTGCATTCACGTCGGACTCCGTGATCATTTTGGCTTGGGCTTGAGCTCTTTTAAAGCCACTCCTGTGCAGCTCTCTGTGTGGCAAAACTTGCAACATGGCTCGCTCTGCCTCACGTGTGCTCGCTTGCGTGCTCTTGGCCCTTGCCTGCTCGGCGATGCTTTGCTTTGTGGGCACCACTCCCAGTCCTGCTGCAGGAAGCACTCCGCTGAAGCAGTCTTTGCGGGCACCGGCCGTGCAGATGGAGGCGCGAGGCGGCGGTGAGGGTGCCCTTGGCGACATGAGTCCCGACACCTACATCATTGGCATCACCGTGCTTGGGATTGCATCCTTGTTTGCCAACATCAGCGGCTTCTTCAACCCATGAGAAGACCCAGAGAGTGGCAGCGGCCATGTAGAGGTTTTTAGTATCCTTTACATTGTGCTCGATCTGCCTGACAGAGCAGAGGATTGTGCGAATTGGGCAGAAATAGCGTCTTTGAGGGAACAGATGGGACAGGCAATGAGCATGTTTTCCATCCTCACATGTCCTCCTTGCAGTGGGTCCCGGGTTCAGTGTATGTTTGTTTGAACTCCAAAGATTCAGCCAAAGGAATCAATCGCATTTGAGGAACAAGAGAGTTGGACTACGTTTGACTATGTAAGGTTTTATCACATGTGAGCACCGAAGGATGTGAGATACTCGGATGTTTGGATATGTTTGGATGAGAATTCCAAATCCAAAACATATATGGGCGTCACTGTGTTGCTCCTATCGAGTTTGCATTCACGTCGGACTCCGTGATCATTTTGGCTTGGGCTTGAGCTCTTTTAAAGCCACTCCTGTGCAGCTCTCTGTGTGGCAAAACTTGCAACATGGCTCGCTCTGCCTCACGTGTGCTCGCTTGCGTGCTCTTGGCCCTTGCCTGCTCGGCGATGCTTTGCTTTGTGGGCACCACTCCCAGTCCTGCTGCTGGAAGCACTCCGCTGAAGCAGTCTTTGCGGGCACCGGCCGTGCAGATGGAGGCACGAGGTGGTGGTGAGGGTGCCCTTGGCGACATGAGTCCCGACACCTACATCATTGGCATCACCGTGCTTGGGATTGCATCCTTGTTTGCCAACATCAGCGGCTTCTTCAACCCATGAGAAGACTGGGGTAGAGAATGGCAGCGGCCATGATATGTAGGTTTTTTAGTCTCTTTACATTGTTTACATCGCTTCGATCTGCCTGACAGAGCAGAGGATTGTGCGAATTGGTGCAGAAATAGTGCCTTTGAGGGAACAGATGGGGACGGGCGGGGACAGGCATGAGCATGTTTTCCATCCTCACATGTCCTTCTTGCAGTGGGTCCCGGGTTCAGTGTATGTTTGTTTGAACTCCAAACGATTCAGCCAAAGGAATCAATCGCATTTGAGGAACAAGAGAGTTGGACTACGTTTGACTATGTAAGGTTTGATCACATGTGAGCACCGAAGGATGTGAGATACTCGGATGTTTGGATATGTTTGGATGAGAATTCCAAATCCAAAACATATATGGGCGTCACTGTGTTGCTCCTATCGAGTTTGCATTCACGTCGGACTCCATGATCATTTTGGCTTGGGCTTGAGCTCTTTTAAAGCCACTCCTGTGCAGCTCTCTGTGTGGCAAAACTTGCAACATGGCTCGCTCTGCCTCACGTGTGCTCGCTTGCGTGCTCTTGGCCCTTGCCTGCTCGGCGATGCTTTGCTTTGTGGGCACCACTCCCAGTCCTGCTGCTGAAGCACTCCGCTGAAGCAGTCTTTGCGGGCACCGGCCGTGCAGATGGAGGCACGAGGTGGTGGTGAGGGTGCCCTTGGCGACATGAGTCCCGACACTACATCATTGGCATCACCGTGCTTGGGATTGCATCCTTGTTTGCCAACATCAGCGGCTTCTTCAACCCATGAGAAGACCGGGGTAGAGAATGGCAGCGGCCATGATATGTAGGTTTTTAGTATCTTTACATTGTTTACATCGCTTCGATCTGCCTGACAGAGCAGAGGATTGTGCGAATTGGTGCACAAATAGTGTCTCTGAGGGAACAGATGGGGACCGGGGGACAGGCATGAGCATGTTTTCCTTTCTGACATGTCCCTCTTGCAGTGGGTCCCGGGTTCAGTGTATGTTTGTTTGAACTGCAAACGATTCAGCCAAAGGAATCAATCGCATTTGAGGAACAAGAGAGTTGGACTACGTTTGACTATGTAAGGTTTGATCACATGTGAGCACGAAGGATGTGAGATACTCGGATGTTTGGATATGTTTGGATGAGAATTCCAAATCCAAAACATATATGGGCGTCACTGTGTTGCTCCTATCGAGTTTGCATTCACGTCGGACTCCGTGATCATTTTGGCTTGGGCTTGAGCTCTTTTAAAGCCACTCCTGTGCAGCTCTCTGTGTGGCAAAACTTGCAACATGGCTCGCTCTGCCTCACGTGTGCTCGCTTGCGTGCTCTTGGCCCTTGCCTGCTCGGCGATGCTTTGCTTTGTGGGCACCACTCCCAGTCCTGCTGCTGGAAGCACTCCGCTGAAGCAGTCTTTGCGGGCACCGGCCGTGCAGATGGAGGCACGAGGTGGTGGTGAGGGTGCCCTTGGCGACATGAGTCCCGACACCTACATCATTGGCATCACCGTGCTTGGGATTGCATCCTTGTTTGCCAACATCAGCGGCTTCTTCAACCCATGAGAAGACTGGGGTAGAGAATGGCAGCGGCCATGATATGTAGGTTTTTTAGTCTCTTTACATTGTTTACATCGCTTCGATCTGCCTGACAGAGCAGAGGATTGTGCGAATTGGGGCAGAAATAGCGTCTCTGAGGGAACAGATGGGGACAGGCGGGGAAAGGCATGGGCATGTTTTCCATCCTCACATGTCCTTCTTGCAGTGGGTCAGGTGCATAGATCGATACACGAGTCTGATATATTGCTGGCCTGCCTGGCAAGCCTGGCAGCGAGGCCATCGAGATGGATTCCGACCACATGTTTCACCTGAACTTTGCCATAACTTTGTTCAACCATGGAGAGCTCACAGAGGCCAAGTAGCTTGGTATCTGTACTGTTGATGTGGGTCAGTGGGTCATGAAGCGAATAAGATTTGGGTGTCCCAAATTTGCCCCAACATTTCATGTGACATGTTTGAATTTGCTGCAAATCTTTTTTCGCCGCAGCCTGAATATCTTGGAAATTGGGGATTTTTGTTTGCTCATCATTCCAGAGAGTTCCATGGATTTCAAACAGTGTGGTTCTCTCAAGTCGCGCCAAAGCCTCGACATCCTCGACCAGGCCAAGCGGCAGTTTGTGCTTTTCAACGATTTGTTCCAGCAGCTGGATGAAGAGCAAAGGAACTCAGACCCAGAGGCCCCAAACTCTTGGCTGAATGATGCTGAATGATCTGGTTATGAGTATGGGATTGGCCAAACTTGTGTATCCAAGCAGTGCGATCCAATTCTGACTGACTGTGGTTTTGGTTTTTCACAAAATCATACCGTGTATTGTTGGTGAAGTTCCAGGGGTGGACAGTTTCCTCAGCAAAAAAAGCGTGGGAAGGTGAATGAGCAGAGACAGCTCCTTCAGGGAGTACTGAACGGTGGCGCAAAATAGTTTCTGGACACCCAACTGAAATCGGTTGATACTGTACAGTCAGAAATTGTAAGGCTCACTTGCACTGATCTTTGTGTATGTGTGTGTGTTTGTATGTTTTTGTGTGCTGTCGTGTTTGTTGTTACTTTTGCATTTCCTTTTAACGTCCTTGGTCGGTGCAATTGAGTCTCACATTTCCAGGGTCTGAAGCGGAAAGAGGAAGCTTGTGCTGAGCTTCGAAAGTGCGAGACCCTGTGTAGATATGGAGTGTCGCCTCAATGTCAGGTGACAGAACAATCGTCTCCAATGCAATGGCGTCCAATATCTGCAGACTTGTCATGTGCATTGTTCTTGTTCTACAGATGTCATATCGCATGGTAGAAGCATCACCAAACTTTCAAACGGTTGTCAACCTTTCGACATGTCGCATAGGCATGTCCTTGCGCTGTATCAACATCTATGGCCTAGATGTTGATCCAGCGCAAGGATATATACTACGTAGTACAATCTAGACCAATCTAGTACATAGACATGCAGCACTTGTTTGAGAACCAACAAATCGGAGCGACTGGTGTATACTGTATATATGGTATTCTGTCCATGTCTGGAACCCACAACCGAGCTGTATCTTTGGCAAACATGTTTTCTGCGTTGGAGTCACAGGCTCAAAGCAAGCCAGGCACAAGCTGATTGACCCACCAACCATATCAAGCCACATGTTTTCATCCTGGATTGCTGGCAAAAAGAAGACATGATGCAAGCTGAAGCCAGATTACAGTACTGAAAATTGTCAAATCCGTTGATGTGGTCTGGGAGCTACCTTGAACTCCACCAAAGAATGGAAACAAACACGTCCGCATTGGTCAGTCGCACTTGCGATGCGCTTTGCGGCGCCGGAAAAGACGATGAGAAAATGAGGCCTTCCATGTCGAGAGTCAGATAGGTCGAATATCGAATCATGTTGGAATTGTTTGTGGAATCCCAATGAGCTGAGCTCAGAGGATGCGGGACTTGTACACACTTTTGGGATCAGAAGATATCAGAAGATAGTTCGGAACAGCACTTGAGATCCACAACAAACTCTCAGCCAGTTGTTTGGCATTGATCCTGGCCACACCCATTCCCAAGGGGCATCCCTTGGCCTTTTGTCATAGCCGTAGCCATGCTACATCCGGCGATGAAGTGAGATGATCACATCAAAAAGATCAAAGATTTACATGATTTACGCAGTGTAAATGTTAAACTTGGAAGCCAATCATTTAAGTTTGTCATCCCCCTAATATTCAAGCAGCCCCCATTCTGTGGTCCCAAATATGTGCTTCTATATTTCTTATTCCCTACATCCACCATGGTTTTGGGGGAATGTTTAATATGAATAGGGGATGTGACCATTTCCCATCAAAAATTCCCCATCATATATGCTTAGATTTAAATCCATTTAAGTTTAAATCATTTTAAATCCATTTAAATCCCATAAAATGCCACCATTTTGCTTGGTTATTTCATCCTATAAATCCAGCATGTAACCGTTGGTCAAATCACCATCTTTCTTGCTTCGATTCACCGTCAGCCGTGGGTTTCTGCAGGCCTCCGTGACGGCATGGTGAAGAGAGCTTTGTGCAGCTTGGCACTGCGATATTTTTGGGGGGTATTTTCTGGATGTTTGGGATAGAATTGGATAACTGATGATAACTGTATATTAGTATATATTAGTGATATAAATTGATATAATATAAAGTAATAAACCAGATTATACAATATTAATCAATATTATATATACTACGACTGTACAATACATTATACATATATATATAATTATATAATATAGTTTTATATACATAATGATATATGATATATGATATATATATATAATCAGCAATACAGCTGAAATTGACGTGCTTTGAAGGGTGTTTGGTCACAGTCTTTTTCAGATGACGCAATTTCACCCAGGCGTTGGGTGCAACTACCCGAGCAAAGCCTTCGGACTGGCGGGAGCGGTCAATGATGCCTTCCTCATTGCAGAGACTTTGCAGGTGCGGCCAAATTCACCGGGTGAAAAAGAGATGTTCCTTCTAGTTAGGTCAAAAAACAGGACCGTTAGGCTGCGGCATGAAGATGTTCTTTGTAGTTCTCTATGCCTCGGAGAAGTTCTGGAGCAATCTTGAGCAGTGCGTCAAAAATGTCAGGCGCATATGGGTTTCCGGCACGAGAATGTCTGTGTTTTGCACGACGTCTACCCAGGGCAGAAGAAGTCCTTGAAGGCCAAGCCAGACCTTCTCCACCCGGTCCATCCAAACAAAATATCAACCAGTATCAGTGCGCGAATTCTGCCAAGTGAATTGCAGTGTCATCAGTGTCCCGGAATATCCGGAATTATATGGAATTATAAGACCTAAAATATTCGAAACGAAAGATCGGTGTGTCTGAAAATTGCTAGTTAACAAAAAAAACATGGTCCATTTTACCATGCAGAAATGGAAATATGATGAAATTCGCCATTAATTTGCATTTGTTTCTTCTGAATGTTCAGACAAAGAGGTGGAGCCTGCGAAGTCACCCACTCGTGTGAACATCTTGCAGCAGTGGAGTCCTTAGCAAAGCGGTTGACTGCTCTTGCAGGAAGCATGGGAGTGTCAATGAATATCCAATTTCATAACATGGTTCATGTATGTTCATGTGAATCATATTATGATATACGATAATGTGATATGTAGAGAAAGCCCACGAGAGTTGAGGTTCAAAGCGTGTAACTTGCAGACTTCGGCCGAGGTTGCAGCAGCTTGTCCGGCAGACACGACCAGGTGATGTGCTGTTCTTTTCCTTTTCAGGCTACGGTCTTCAGGTGGATGATATGGATGGCTATCAAGATGAAGGTTATGAAGAAGCCATCCTCCCCACGGATTTCGTGGATGGTCGTGACGGTGACTACAGCGTCATTTGCACCAACGATTTGCATGATGTCCCTGGCTTAGACTCGAAGGAACATAGCTGAAAAAATGCTGACCGGAAAATCTAGGGGATGACTCAATACAGTAACTACAATGTAGCTACACTATGTTACACTGGCCAGCTTTCCGATGCTTTTTTCTGCTGTTTGTTCCAGAAGAAGCAGCTACTTCGGTGTGTCAACCAGGTCCTCCTTGGAGTGCCACAGAATGTGATCGTCACTGCAGTGATGGACCGGTGATTTCTGTGCAACACCACGAGATGGCGGGGGTCATAAGAATTTAAGTGACCCAAAAGAAGCTAGCAGCTTGAGATAGAAATAAAATGAAATGTGAAATGTGTGTATGTATGTGTATGTGCATGTATGTGCACGTATGTGTATGTATGTATGTATATGTATGTATATATATATATATATTAATAGCGACCATCAACTGTTGATGCTGATGTGATAGAAAGGTAAGTTGACGAAAGTTGAAGGCACCAAGCGCAATTCAGCATGTCGAGATGTGTTCAGAGGATGCTGTGTGGATCTCTTGATTTCGCAGGACTGCGATCATGCGACCACACTGATTGATATCGGTGGCACTCTGGATGGCTCTTTGGTGAGTGGGCTGAAGTACAGCAGTTTCTGCGGCTTACAGGCCTAGTGCACAGATTGCGATTGCTCTGTGCTTCGAAAACATTGAGCATCTCTTGCACGAGAGCAGGCCCACTCTACCAAAATGATGCTTGCAAACCATGAGCGGGGCGTGTGGCAGGCGGCTTGAGGGTGGAATACAATGGTGCCATGTACCGTCATTGACACCTGTTCTGTATTTTGTTGTTTGCATATGGGCAGTTTATGTCAAATTTATGTGTCATTGTGCAGGAAGAGAAAGCTCGTTCAGTAGCTGCACGTCCACGTTTTCAGCCTGTCCACAACTTAGATACTCTTGATTACTCTTGGATGGTGACATTTGGTTTGCAGAAGCAGGGGTGTTGGTATAAATTTGCTTCTGCGGAAACGGTCCATGGATGTACAGCTACACAGGTGATGGAGATCGACAATCCTCGAAGGGGCAGGCCAGGGCCTGCCATGCTACCTTTCCTTTCCTTTGGTTTTGCCGGGATGGAGTGACACCCAAAAGCAGCACAGCCTTTCAGGTTTCATTCATAGCCTTCCTATGAGATTTTATCCTGTCTTATCCACATGGAGGTCTCCTGAAGTAGGGGTGCCCCAAATCATCTAGTTTCAGAGTTTTCAGACGGATTTTCCTTATCAGCCATCCATTTTGAGGGATTTCCATTTTAGGAAACCCCCACATATCACCTCTGCGAGGCTTCCAACCAGGCCAGCCATGTCTCGTTCGTCCTCCATTGCCTTCTGCTACTCAGCTGCCGGGCACGGCCAGACGGCAATGGAAATGCACCACTGCCATGGCTTGGACAGTTGTTGGAAGTTGGAAATATATCAAGGTTTGGGGTCTTGGAAGTTTGAGTTTGAGGAAGAGACAGAGAAAACCCATAGAAAACCTATGTAAAGAGATGTAAAGTATGTATATTATAATATATCAATATATGTTATGTTATATTACGGGCAAACCCCACAGTTTGCCCGCGCATACGTCGACGACGTCCCCGATTAAAAAAAACAAAAAACTGTCTTTTGTGGGACAAAATGCACATCTCCGTGATCTTGGCTTTCATCTTGCAACGCACAGCTTAGGCTACCTGTGCGTTGAATATGACATCATCATCATCAACAACAACAACAACGACGACATCAACCCTAAACCCTAAACCCTAAACTCCTTTAAAATTCCCTTGAATGTAAAGTTCAGCGGGGGTGCGGATTTGATGATTCCCTAGAAACTCTGTTGAAATCATGTTGAATATTCCCTTTCAATGTAAAGTTTAACAGGGGCTTATCATTCCCTAGAAACTCTGTTGAAACATGTTGAATATTCCCGTTGAATGTAAAGTTTAACACTGCCTTCAATATCCCCTTATCAGTTGTGTGGGCGAACTGGGGGGCTTGCGCGTAATATTATATATGATATCTATATAATATATAATATTATATATATATATGTACACACATGTGCGTAAAATGATATATTATGTAAATAGGTGGATGTACTCTGCTAGCCTGTGACTTGTGCGCATGTGAGCCTTTTGGTCTTGAAAGAAATGACATGAATCATGTATCGTTCACCAGTTGCCAGGAAGATGACAACGCCAAGTGTGGATGGGCAAGAGCCAACTGTAAAGCAGCATGGAGCTGGAGACTCACTGCAGACTCCAGCGATCGATGGTTTTTTTCAGGCTCAAGCAATGGTTTGTCTGAAAATTTAGGGGAAAACGCTCCAATAATCCCATTGTTGATCATCATGCTGCCTATGAAATGATTCCATGGCTGCTCCAATGAATGGGGAGATACCGATGCCCATTTTCAGACAAACCCCGGTTGGGAGGGAAGACCAAGGTTCTATCCTGGTGCTTTGCAAAGGCTTTGGAAGAGCCCGGCAGTCCAGATTTATGAGGTTTCAAACGCCAACGAAAAAGCCAACGGGATGTGTTCCCGTTGGATACATCCATTTTTGGCGGCTATAACGGACTGGGTTTCCCATTTGAAGGAATCCCCAAACGGAAATTGCATGCATAAATTGGAGGCACAAGATGATCATGTAATATATCAAGCTATGTCAAGAAAATTACTGTAAAGATATATCAAATACACTAATGATTCTAATGATGCGTTAAGTTGGTGCAGTTGGTGCATCTGTGGTGCACATTTGAGGTTGAATTTCAGCGGCACGTATTTCGAACTACAGGAGGCGCGAAACTGGCAGAAATTTGGCACCGATGGTTTCAGATGTTGCGCCGATGAGGAGATTCAGCAGCAGATGAAGCAAATCAAAGCAACTTCTTTACCTCGCATGGATCAGGAGAAGGGTTGGGTTTCAATGAGGTTCAATGGGTTTCAATGAATTTTCAATGGATTTCGATCTTGTCAGAAGGTTAGCTACTCACTGCTCCAATATGCGGTATAACGATGCAGAACGTGAGAACGTGACCGTAAGAGCCTTTCAATCTTTCTAGCGCCTTTGATCGCTTGAAGGAAGTTTTGCTCACCTTTTCCCTCCCATTGTCAGATGCTCGATACGACTGTTTTTTCGTTCGGAAAGTAAGAAGCTCTGCCTCAAACACCTGGAGCATGATGGAATTTTGCTGAGCCTTGCCTCCTTGAAAGTCTGAAGCAAGTTGATGATTAGTTGATGGCCTCGCTTTGTTTCATCATACAAAAAGGCACTCTGCCTTTGCCAAAGGTACTTCTCAGTCGTTGATGAACCCCACCTTTCTCATGCTTGCCTGGCTTGCCTTTCCCATGGATTTGTTTTCCGGGTCATTTTTTTTGTGGGTGACTTGCGCCATGGATAAGGTCAAAACCAAGAACAATGAAGATCCTGCAACCAATGGAGTCCGTGCCCAGCACTTAGGTCATCCGGCAATGTCCTCCAATCACACATCAATGCATCAAACAGTGTGAGGAGAACAACTGCCCTGCAAATGCACTACCATGCTTGATGCTTGTATATGGATGGTTATAGATTATTGATGATATTGATGGTTATATAGATGGTTATAGAGTTATACTGGTAGATGGTTATAGATGGTTATAGATGGTTATAGATGGTTATAGATGGTTATAGATGGTCATAGATGGTTATAGATGGTCATAGATGGTTATAGATCAGTGTTGTATATGTAATTACATGTAATTACCATCCATAAGTGCCATAACTGCCATAACTATACCATTGATCTATAACCATACATAGGTTGAATCCCAGGCATGCACCCGATCGGGGCATCAGCACCCAAAGCATGCGCCTGGCAGCGCCTGCTGCCTGGCCCTCGGATTCACAGGGATAGAACTGGCCTCGGATCCACAGAAATGGGACGATTTACCCTCTGGTACTGGTAAACTAACATAACTATGGAAAGATCCACCATGTTGAATGGGAAAATCCACTATTTCTGTGGTCATGTTCAATAGCCATGTAACAAATTACCACCATGACTTTCCTGTGATAAGACTGGGTTGAAATGTCTGAAAGTGTTGAAACGAACGTTTTTCGATTTTGTATTGAGGTTGTGCCTCCCCCGCCGCCTGGATTTTTGACAGGTGGGGGTTGGAACGGGAACAATGAAGCCTCAAACTGTGCTTTTAATATCTTTTAATATCAATGCTACTTCTCAGTATCCCATTCATTTCTATGGGGATTTTCCAAGCTTGATTTGCCGGCTGGCCTTGAAGAATGTGTATACTTGGATACTATAAGGAAATGATTTGGCAAATTATGGATATATTATCCCAAGTTATCTGGATTTAATTTTGTCCCCTCATAAATTGTCCAAATTGAAGCAATGACTCAAAAATTACAAGGCCCTTTTTCAAAGGGTATCTTCCATAGCTTTGCCAAGATCATCCAATATAACTGCGCTGCAGTGGTGCATCTCAGACGCCACAAACTCTGAATTGATTTGTTTAAGGGTAAGTCGACAGGAAACCATTTGGAAACCATGATTTTTGACAATGATTATGATTATAGTGGTTTCACCCGTAAATTGTTCCATGCGGCAAACTCCTTAAAGCACTCCACCAGCGAATTCCCATCAATGAGGCTGCTAGGCCTCGCCGGCGACACCATGAATTTGCACACCAGATGGCAGTCACGTATCATATTATTCACTAGGCTGATTGGTGGTTTGGAATATGAATTTTATTTTTCCATATATTGGGAATAATCATCCCAACGGACTAATATTTTTCAGAGGGGTTGAAACCACCAACCTGTAGCGGTTGAAGACTAAGAAAAGTTTGACAAGGTCCAGAAACTGCTGGCAGTCCAGGGAGTGGAAGTGCTGTCACCTCTCGACAAGTCTCAGAAGACATCCCATCAGTTTCCCGGCAAAGATTTAGGGCTTGAACTTGCGCAGTGGTATGCCGACAAGGTTTTCAATCATGTTTTGGGATATTATATATATATACACAATTATATATATATATAATTATATATATAGTGATATAGTGACGTGTATACATATATACATATATATAATTATATATATGGTATGCCAACAGTGATATTCATGTGTTGGGATTGTAGAAGTTTTGCTTTTGTCAGCATTATAATATAGATAATATAATCGACTCACAGCGCTGCCGGGCTCAGCACGAACACCATCCTGCATTACCGAGGCTCAATCAAGACCAGCTTGGTCAGAACTGGTGCATCACAATGTCGAAGGCCGTGAAGGTTCCTTCAAAGTGTGAAGCCCTAATGGTGAAGAGAGAAGCTGTCAGAGTGTGAAGCCCAAATTATTGGTCAACGTTTGGGTTTATGGCAAATCTAACTAGAGTTGATGGATTTATAAACCAGCAAACATAGCGATCGTTGCCCGCTTCAGAAACCAAAAAATCACGACTCAGAAACCAAAAAGTACGATTCAGAAACCATAATGACCGATTCAGAAACCATAATGACCGATTCATCAACCAAAACTACAGCAATTCGGAAACAAAACGCCAAGATTCAGAAACAAAAAAAACACGATTTAGAAACCAAAATGTACGACTTAGATACTGTTTGGTTTCCGAAGAATCCTTGTTGGTTTCCGAATAATTTCTCAACCATAAACGTAACTGGGGGGCGACACCTGTGAGTTTCTTAGGTCCAAGGGACCAGCTATGCTCCGCAGCCCCGAGACTATGAGAAGACTGGGCCTGCTAACGGATGGGGCAACAAGTCAGCAGCGCCAACAGAACCTAAGTGCTAGCCTCACTTTTGAGAGCTTTGCCATGAGTTGTCTATCACAGCAAGTTGTTTTTGGTACGGTATCGTGAGAGTGACAGTACCCATAGATGCGATTTGATGCGTATAGTTCTTTAAAGCTGTATATACCGTTGTGTATATACCTTACGTGCGAGGGAATGGAAAAATATACCGTTGTTTACAGTCAGGTTTCCAGCGCGACAAGTCGACATTATTGGCGGACGCTCAGTTGGAGCCACAGCCAGTGAATCCGCAAGCCATTTGTGTCAGATCTTTTGCTGGGTGGTCTCTTCAAAATTGGGACCCACGTCATCAAGAATGTATCCGATAATATCCGATATTTTGAATTTTGCACATATATATATATACTTATATTATATATTAATATATATTATACGTATGTAACATATATATATATACACTTATATACAGGTCAATGATTTTTGGGTACCCCAAGTTCAAGAACCAGCCCGGCTGAGGATGCGCGGGACCGGCACTTGCCGGCGCCTCCACCACCGCTGTCAACACTCAGGTCATGAGACCTGCTGATTTTGAACAGTTATGGCCCTATGGCTATATGATTATTATTGGGATATTCCCAATCCAATGGCAATTTGAGAAAGGTTGGATGTCTAAAAATAGAGGTCATATTATGATGAAGGCAGATATGAGCAGATAATTTGTGTGGTGTCTCCACCTCAACGTTGGCAGTTCGCGGCCGGCTACAAACAACCCTCCGCCGGACATCTCCAACTGGCCCTCCCCGCGGTCGCCTAACCAGCATGAGCTGCAGCAGCAGCAACCATATCCTGGACAGCCGTGTCGGACTCAGTTGGAAATACTGCAAGTTGTCCCAGTACTAGTTTACTGATGTTTACTGTGCCATCATCTTGCTCCAAAGAAACTGAAATGGGAGTGGAAGTGAATGAAAATTGTGCATAAATCTTCGGACGGCTGAAAAATCATCTATTATTGCCAAAGTTGTGGTGTCAGAATGCTAGTAGCGCCATGAGACTGGGATTGCCTCTGAGGATAGACCAGCGAGGTGTTCCAGTTCCAGGTGGCAGGGGTCAAAAATCGGGGCTACACTCCACCAGGAATGTTACAGAAAAGTGCTTGTTTGAGTGTTGGGGTTTCCTGCAAATTTTCCATGACACATGGGAATGCTCCTATTTGGTTCCGCGGTCTCGAATTCAAGGCTTGATCCAAGCGAAAGCGGCGTCAACGGAAACGTTGGACTAATTTGCTCTAACCAACTAGTCAAGTTGGGTATCCTAGATTATCCAATATTAACATTTATAAGAACAATTATTAACCCATTACTAACCCATAGTCAATCATAGTCATCTCCAAATGGCCAGGCTTGACGGCCCCAAATCTCTTTGGCAATGCTGGGCCTCCTGCGTTGAGTGGGGCGTCACAGTTGAGCCATCTTCGGCTCAAAAGACCACCGAATGCTGAGCCATGTTTGAACTGTGAGCCATGAAAAATCTATTGAAAATCCATGAAATATCCATGAAATATAGTGAAATGAACTGTTTTAGGGATGCCTAGTTTTGACACCCAGCTGTAACAAGAGGGGAACATCAACCATGAGTTGATATTGGCTGGCAATGTCAGGATTCCAATATATTCCAATGAATGAATTGACCCGTGTGATATTCTTATGATATCATATCCCTAGAAATCAATGAATGTCACTTCCACTCACGGCTGGCTGGGCATCAATTCTGTACCGAGGTTTCAACGTTCCAGGCTATGGCACTTTGGCACCACAGGCAACTATCTCAACGTCAATACTCAGGGATTAACTGTTTAGAAGTTGAGAATCGCATGATCAACACACATGTTTAAACTGTTTAACCATGTTTTCTTGTTTTTAGAAAGTACTATATATATATACATCTATATACCACAAACTTGATAAAGGATGCATACCATATTCTGCGCCGCTGTGTGATGCACGACAGAATATCTTTGGAGATGCAGCTGCACATCCACAGTTCGAGGCGATGGGCAAGCAGCCGCAATCGCGAATGCCGTGGTCATCACCATTGTTCACTCGGTAAATGGACACTTCCTTTGGATCAGAGGGAAAAAGCATGCATGGGCGCGGAAGATATGGAGGAAAATTGAAAAGCAACAAAAGCATGCAAGTGCAATAAAGGACTCTCTTGATTTGGACGATTGAGTTCTTGCAATTATTAATTTATTCTTGGTGTAAGTACGAGTACACATCATTCACTATGGCAGAAAGAAAGAAGCATTGTCGCACTTACCTGACAATGGATATCTCAAAGACGAGGTCCTCAGAAGAGTTTGCGCAGACAATTTTTCTGCGCCGGGGCGGCCGGGCAGCGAAATATTTTACAGTTAGTTCGTGTTACACGTGAGCCCATGTATTTGATTGGAATCTGGCAAGACCACCACTTTAAAAACTTCCAAGATGAGCAGTTGTTGCAGGTATGCAAGCAATACATGAGCCTTATATTATATTATATTTATATTATATTATATTATATTACAGTATATTATATTATATTATACTACATTATATTATACTACATTATACTATACTACATTATATTATATTATATTATATTATACTACATTATATTATATTATATTATATTATATAATTTTATATTTATATTTATAATTATAATTATATTATATTATATTTATTTTATATTATATTATATTATATTATGTTATGTTATGTTATGTTATGTTATGTTATGTTATATTATATTATATTATATATATATGGTGATCGATCTAAAGGTCCTTGTAAGGAGTTTAAATTGCGAAAGCCGTGCATGTTATGGAAACCCTCGCGAAAGTTTTTTTTCGAGTTCGCGAAAGTAACATTTTTTTTCGCGGAAGTTTCACGAAAGTTGGATATTATAATCATTATGTAAAGGGCTGCCACCCACTGCGGCCGGGGTCCGGCAGGAGAAGGGCACTAGAGAATTTCGGTTTGGTTCTGGTTCAGTTCCCTGTGTGGTGGTGCTTGTGGACAATCACACTCTTCATAGGTAGCAGCCGAGCTTCCAAAGGCGAGGCTTCGTGACAGCCAAACGCCATGGTCCTGAAGCACATCCTTGCACCTGCCGCTATCACTGCCTAATGATGCTTTTTGAAGTGTCAAGAAGCAAGCTCCAAACGCAGTAGCCAAGTTTCCAAAAGTGAAGCTTTGCAAGAGCCAAACACCAAGGCCCCTGGTGTTCGCTTTTCCTTCAATGTACCCCCTGCTGATGGCCGGGGTCTGCGAATAGGGATATTTTCGCGAAAATTGCGCGAAAGACCGGGCGGAAGTTAAAGTGCATGTTGAAGGGGGTGGGCCAATAAAATTTTGCCTAAAAAATTTAGTTAGCAATAATTTGCACTAAAAAGGGATTCCGTGATGCTAGTTGCATGTTTAAAAGGCTATTAGGAAATAATTCGTAATTTTCTGGCGTAATTTGGTAGGTGGTAAAAAAAAATATATAAAACATATTATTGGCTAATATGGCCCCTACGAAAGATAAATATAAAATTTGTAAAAAATAATTATTCCCGAATAAACGAGTTTTAATTAAAACCCATATAAATTTACAGAAATTTAATATATTGATATTTGGTAGAAAATATTTTTGTGCGATTAATAACTATATATTTTGAATTATTTCTAAATAATTTTTTGATTTTGTTAGAGGTTATATTTGGAATTATTTTTGGGGATATTTTAATTTAAATGTTATATATATTTTTTTTAATTAAAATAATTATTTATAATTTGTATTTTGTAGGAGCGATTACTCGTTGTACATTATAATTTCTAAGCCTACGGCGGGCTAGACGCTTTAGAAAGAAAAAAACATAAATATAGGTAATCGATAGTACTAATCGGAACCTTGCGACTCTCTACGTACTACTAAATGCTCCCCAAAATTGCTACTAAAAGCTGCTTCGCAAAGCGGTTCCGAAAACTGTTCCTAAAAAGCGTTATCGAAAGCTGCTCCAGACAACTCTTCGCAAAGCTGTTCCCAAAAGTTGGTCTCCAAAGTTACTTTCCAAAGCTGGTCCCCGAAATTGGCCCAAAATTATTTTCCAAAGCCCAAATTTGCTCCCAGAGGTATTCCCGAAAGTAGTTCCCAAAGTTACTCCTCAAAATTGCTATTGAAAATTGCTCTCCGAAATTCCTAGTAAATGTCTGCTCGAAAGCTGTTGTTCTTTAAAATAAGTGTTCCTCAAAGTTGTTCCGGAAAGTTGTAAAGTTGCTCCCCAAAGCTGTTTCCCCCAAAGCTGTTCCCCGAAGCTGCTCCCCAATGTTGTTCCCCAAAGCTGCTGTCCAAAATTGTTGCCCTAAAACTGCGATTCTTTAAACCTATAACCCAAAACGGCTCCCCAAAATTATTCTGCAAAGCGGCCCCCGAAAGCTGCTCCCCAAAATTGCTACTGAAAGCTGCTCCCCGTAGTTGTTTGTAAAGCTGTCCCGAAAGCTGCTCCCCAAAGCTGCTGTTCTTCAAAACAATTATTCCTCAAAATTGTTCCGGAAAATTTGCCAAAATTATTCCCCAAAGCGGTTCCCCGAACCTGCTTCCCAAAGCTGTTCCCCAAAGCATCTTTGCAAAGAGATTGCCCCAAAATGGTTATGTTTTAAACCTCTTCCCTACAAGCTGATCCCCAAAATTGCGTTCTAAAGCTATTTGTACTCCCCAAAGCTGCGGTTTTTCAAAGCTGCCGTGCCGAGCTGCTCCTCAAAATTGCTCCTGCTCCCCAAAGTTGCTCCCCAACCTGCTCCACCAAGCATTTTCATGCCTGAATAAGATACCAATAATTTCGTTGCTTTCCGGATATACAATCCCTGTGGGATCCGCAATTGGAATTAACAGAAATCACATTCATCCACATGCATATAAGGGATCAATTTACAGACCCGAGGTAACTTCCATGCGACTGACCCCTTGGAATGCTCAAATAAAATTCGATTATTAGATTTTAATTGCAATTCAATCAAATCACAACAAGAATTGATGAATAACATTGACAATCGTTGTTTCTCGGCTACTTCAGTTGACGACATATTCAATTTGTTGAGATTGAATGGGCCAGCGGCCCAGGTGCACGGTGGGCACAGCACCAACAATTCTGGTGGGATTTCTTTGACTAATTTCTTCATATAATTCCTATGATCAGGCTTACGGAAATCCCAACCAGTTAACAGATCTGCTGATGTGCCCTAACGGCAGCTTGCTGGTCAAAACGTGGCGGTGAAAATATTTCTATGATGTCAAAAGGCCTATATTTGGAACTAACCCTATCCAATTTCTGAACCTGCTGAAGCACCTGTCGTGCTTGTCGGGATACCCATTGGGTCAGAAGGACTTCGGAATTAGTACCTGACGGCAGCTGAGGTGACACCATAAAAATGATTTCACCGGTCCAATAGCTACCAATGGAAATTTCAACATGGCCATGTGCTTCACTTGGTTTAGTCCAACTATCTTGAATGTTATGCATGATTTCATGAGTACCGGCAATACGCCAGCGGGTGGTCCGCTGATGTAACACATCTTCGGGTAACACTGGACAATGGATTCCAAGTAAAATACAAACTATTTCACTTAATTCATTCTTAATTACCCAGTAATCTTTAAATTTACCCTTCTTATTTATTATGGTTACCCCTGGGGTCTTATTAACCTCAGGTACGACAGGCTTGTCGGGCACGGCAGAGGTATCTTCAGGAGGTGTTTGAGGCAGTGTCGATGGCGGCTGAGCATCTGCGGCTGCAGACACGGGAACCCTTCCGTCAATCTCAGGTGACACAAATATATTCTCCTGCACATCAACCTGCTCCGCCAATAAGGCACCCCTCGGAAATTCAATGATTGGGATCATATATTATCCGGCGGTATTAACTTGTATGGGCAGTTTGGTGTTGTTGCCAAACAATCGCAACTTATCTTTTGCGAAATCCATCTCGGCTGAAAATTTCTTCATTGCAGGTCTCGACAGAAGCAAAGTTATATCTCCCTATACTATGGAGGCACGGATGAGGTCACGACGTTGGGCCAAATAGACCGGCTCACTGGCACCATTCCCAAACCTACTGCATAGCCCGGTGAAAACACCAACATGATGGTATGTTTATTACTCTGACACACCTCTGACTCCTTGGAGCGCACGGCAATGAAGTGAGCTCGGACACGATCCAGCAAAGAGGTAGAGCGCATACAAAATGCTCTGGAGGTGTTGTCTGAATATAACCAGCTGCATGGGTGCTACTTACATTGGGCGCGGATTTCTGCGCAGTACCCCTGGACATTTTGCATTCTTTGGCCCAATGTCCAATCTTCTTGTATCGATAATAATGTGTTCTTCGTTTCAGGTCTTCCACTTTATGCGGTAGGTCTTCTTGAGGTCAGCCTCTTTGTGAAATTGACGTGCTTGTCGGAATTTGTTGAGCTCCTGTTTCCTTCCAGCTCACTGCCAAAATGTCAGCAATCTCGTGCACTTCGTAGGTCTCTGTGATATCGATTGCATTTTCATCGCCATTATATTCTGCCAGAAATAACTCTACATCCTGGAAGTCCATGTCGTCCGGTATCGCAGCCGAAGGCTCGTCCTCGTTCAAAATAGTCTTCGGTTCAACCAAATATACATATATTGATTTCTTCCGCGACACCACAAAATCGGGAAAGCACAACCTCATCGACTGAGACATAGTGTCGAACTTCAGCTCTCCTTGGTTCTGGCGAGAACCACCGCCTTCTGTTCTTCATTTATTCCGCTGCACTGCAACAGTATCCATCCCCTAGCCTCCTCGGGGAAGGTTATTCCAGTTTTCCGCTTGCAGCGATCGAAGTACTCTCGGGCTCGGCCACACCATTGTAAATTGTTTCGCCCTTACGGGCTTTGAGGCTGAAGATCTCGGAGATATGTTTTCCCATTTCATCGTTTCTTTCCTTCTTAGGCCATCGCTCATCCAGAAAGTTGAAGATGACAGTGTCGCCACCTTCCTTCTGGTAGTCAGAGTCAGAAAGATGTTCTACGATTTCCAGGATTCTTCCTT